GTCAAACGGGTCTAGAAGTTGTCGCTCGATTTCTGAAAGATGGGGGTGTTTTATGTAAGTGCCTTGGCACCAGCTCGAGGCTACTTGGAGTAGATCTGTTAAGGAATTAGTTGACACGATGTGAACTGTAACTTAGCACCTACCGTAGGCAGCCTCGAAATTGTGTTAGCTGGTGGTGCGGTACCCTTACGACACAGATTTACAAAAATACGGGGGCAGCTTGGTCCAATGTATACATGTAAGTGGCTGTGACAGCAAGGGGAAGCTCGTGACGGGGAATTGGGTGCAGAAATCAGTGTGTGGGACTTCCTTCGTCTGGCCTACAAGGGTGAAATGCAGTTGCCTAAACCATGGATGTGTAGTTGTAAGCAAGAGAAGGGTATCTCAGCAGCTCTGGAGGGCTGAAGGTCTCTTACAACTCCAGGGTCATATCTGCCAGCTATGTGCCAGCACCTTGGGCACCAACATTTAGGCAGGGGAACCTTGTCTGTATTTTTTATGTTTCTGCTGTAGGTTTTTGAGTACCCATAAAAGAATTCTCTTTTACATTATGAATTTAGATACTTCTTTGTAGACTGCAAAACTTGCGTGGTTTGCGTAGGGTTGCGTGAGCTCCATTCGACCACCTAAATACAAAGATCAGGTGCCATTTGAGATACACTGGTTTTCTGCTTAGCCTCTAGCTGCCAGGCCAGGGGGCCACGGATGTCCTCACCTGCCTCATACGGGCATCATGGATACCATAGGCATCTAGTGCAGCTTGAGATGGACAGTACCGAGGCATCTGAGTCTCATCCTGCGGGCCTGCAAGTCCTGTACAGGCACCCATCAAAACAAAATGACTAATTCTAAAGCAGTGAGAGACAGGATGGCTATGCAGGGATGAGTGCACAAGGGAATGAGACTTTGTGGTGCACCAAGTGTGCTAGGAGCATCCTGATATTGCGAAATCCAAGTCTTCACTGACCATGCAATCCAGTCAATCCAAAGCTGCTAACATAAATACTTGGCTGTTGGAAGCACACCTCTTCAATTTCTTTCTCCTTTACACCCATTCTTGGCTCAAAACCCATCTGGCAGCATCCTTTTGTTCTTGCTGAGCCTGGCCCTGGCCCTCTGTCATTAGAAGTGGACACAGTCCCTAGGAGGTGCCTTTAGCTGGTTGGTGTTGGGAGCTTATTTCTGACTCAGTTGTGACAGGTGGTAGCTCACCAGCAGCACACACGGAGGCAATGTGAGTTCAGCATTTCTCCAGTGGGCTGGTGCTTTTGTGCAGATGTGGAACAGTGAAGGCAAATGAGAAGAGCTCGTAGTGGGTGCTGTTATTCAGCTGCTAATACTGTTGCTATGGTGATGTTAACGAAAGCTTCATAAAGGCTGAACCACAGCTGTCAGGAAAGTTGAGGTCCTGGGTCTCCTGGCATGGATTTGTTTGTACTTGCTGAGAAGCCAAGGAGCTGAATTTCCTTGCCTTTCTAGATTCAGCAAGGGGAAGATGGCTGCTCCAGAAGCCCTGGGCAAGTCCTCCTGGCAGCTGCACCTTTATCTTAGGTGCTGCTTTGACTTAAAGAGGACTTAGCTCTGAAGTTGAGTGTTTCACACCCAGAAACATTAATTGTAGGATCTGGGCCCTGTAAATAGGTTTCTCCAACATCCCATAGATGTGCCTCTACAGTGAGCCACCCTATCCGAGCTGTTGAGCTCAGCTGAGATTTGGCATCTGTTCGTCCAGGCTGTGTGCTGAGCAGGCACAGCCCAGTTGCTGGGGTACTCAGTTGTGTTTGTTGTCAGCCCAGCTGTCCCAGCACTATGTGTTTGGTGCACGGATGTGTAAGCTACACGAAATGCCTCCGTTCTCTCCCCTGGAGATGAACCACAGAGAGCAGCTCCCATCCTTGATCTGAGGGCAGAGCAAGCTGCCCAGGTCCAGCGCTGTGTCGTGGTCTCTCCTTGGTGTCTACTTGACTTACTGCATTGACCCTATGCTATGTTTTAACAGGGATTTTTTGGGGGTGGGGGAGGTGGTTTTTCCAGTTCAATTTGTATGAAATCATGCAGGGGCTGTGTCACAGCCTGCCAGAACATTTTTCTAGCAAGACCCTGAGGGCACATGTAGCTCTGTTCAATGGTTTGAAAATAGTGTTAACGTGGAGCCAAACCTGATGCAGCTTAATCCATACTGCTTCCTGGAGTGGGACCTGGCATGACTTGTCCCCAGAAGGCACTTAGACTTTGTTTTGGAGGAAACCGCCTGGCTTGCTGTGAGAGCAAGCTGTGAGAGTGTGGATGCTTGTGTGGATAGTTTGAGGCTAGAAGCTGAGACCCACTGAGGCAGAGAAGTTGGGGCAGGGCAGGGTATCCTTAGAGTCCAGCATTGGAGCGTGGTACATGAAAGATAAGGGTGGAGGTACTTACAATCTGAAAATCATGAACTTCAACAGCCTCTTCGCTCCCACTTCCCGTTTTGAATGTCTCTAAGTTGTTTCCAGCATCTATTTCCATCGATCCATCTTGTACTTTGCCATTAATGCTCATAGTATAGTGAACATTGTACACCTGGAATCAAGAGAGGAGCAGTAGCACACGTCAGTAATTGCTTATCACCTTCTTCCTACACTAGGCAATGGGTCAATCTGTCCTACCTCTGTTCAGCTCCTAACTTTGTTTTTTCTGTAGGCATTTGATAACCTTCCAACAACCAACACCACCCTACAGCAATGCTTCACCGTTGGGGCAGGCTGGCCGTGGAGCAGGTTGCCCAGAGAGGTTGTGCATTCTCCATCCTTGGGGGTTTTCAAGGTCCAACTGGATAAAGCCCTGAGCAGCCTACTCTGACCCCACAGCTCACCCTGCTCTGAGCAGCAAATAGGACTAGAGGCCTCCTGAGGTCCCTCCTTTGGGGACCTCAAGGTGCCGCACAGGGATCTATTAGTACTGACAGTTTTACTGCAAAAACAGTGTGGGATGAGTCCACATCCACGCTCACTCCAACTGAAAAATTCTTTTAGGTCATGTTTTATGAATCATTTCTTATGCTGATACGATTCCCAAAGGAGAGCAGGTGTGAGCATCCTACTCCTGTTTATCTCTTAGGATGTTCTGCTGAGGCGCAAGAAAATGGGTTCCTCATGGATATGGATATGAACATGCTTCCTAGCTTGTAATGGATATGAACTTTGTTTAAATTGGGTGTGAAGTTGTATAGACTCCTGTTTGCCTTGCCAGCATGTTTGCTCTTCGCCTATTTTCAATGAGGAAAGCTGCAGCATGGTTTATATTTGCTGGAGGACCACAATCTGTGGAGGGGTTTTGTGATTTTCCTGTGCAGCTCTACTAAAAGTGCTGCACAAGCAGTTTACTTCTGGTCTTAAAAACCTTACAGTGTTTTAATGAAAAATTTACACTGACAGCTAGAGACAAATTTCTTCTCCTCTCACCTTTGCTCAGGAAAGTCTAAGGTGCTAAAGATTTATGGTTCCTCAGTTATATAGATTCAGTCCCATATTCTGCACCGTCTAGGACTCTTGTTGAACATGGTCCATAAAACCAGAGCGATGTACATGGTCTCTAGACTTGAGACTTTGTTACCCCTGTCAGTTACAGGAGAATTTAAAGATTTAAAACAATAATTTAAAAATTGCCTTGATTTTTTTTATGAATGACCCTTAATATAATTTTTACAGTTGCTTCCTAAACATTTGCAAGTCAAATGTAGCTTTCTGAATTTGAAGGCAGCTTGGAAAATAACTCTAAGCTTTCCCCATGTCTTCACCTGGAGATCAGTTTCGAAGCTTAATGACAACTATGAACGGGGCACATTTTACAAAGTGGGATTTAGATGACAGGAGCAATAAAAAAAGGGAAATTTTGCCCTGCACTCCACAAACGCACTCACCCACTCGGAGCTGAATACACGGTACCCCCTTGCTGCTTACGTACCTGTTCATGTCCCTCTCCTTTTTCAAAAGCCTATAGAAGCAGCTGGTTCTTACAGCACATCTTGGAGGTCAGTAACATATCCCATCTTTTTGGTGTAAAACCTTGTACTTTCTAATTATGTGAATTATCCCTACGTGCATGGGTGTATCTCACAGCGGGGCCTCTGCCCTGACTGCTGGGATTCGCACAAGGCTCTCCTTGACAGGGACTGGTGCGTAGCTGGAGGCAGTACAAAACCTCTTCCAAAGTAAATTCAAAGATACAAATTGCACTTATGGACCAAGTTACAGTCACATGTGCACCATCGTGTTTCAAATAGGTTTAAAATCAAAATCTTATGGAAAGAGAAAGAAAAAACAAGTAAACATGTTCTAATGCTCTGAAGTTGGGTTCTTAAACTGATCAGCAGCTTCTGTTTTGTTCTTTGCATACGTTTTTTTTTTCATGTACCCCAGAAAAATGTAAATAATAAAACTTGCCCTGACTTTAAAAAATTGCACCACAGCTGCTAACCATAAATGCCTATGTGTATGCGCAGCCATCCAAACCACCGGCGTGAAATAATGGTGCCTATTAATGGGTTAAATATAGCATTACATATTTGAGGGTCCAGGTAGGATCTGGACCAAGAATGCAGATGATGTGAAAAAGGAATGTACACGTTTCAATGCTTTTTTTTGTCCTGCGAACTGGAGTTTGCCCAGGATGTGAATCCCCGGGGACTCATTGGGGTTTGAGTTCGCTGAGGATTTGCGAGCAGAAATCAATGTCGTGTCTGTGCTCTCAAAGATACGTTTCATGTTCATTAATAAATGTGCTTCCAGGAGGCTCCATCCGCACAGCCAGTAAAGATAATAAGTTTTTTAGGTGTTTGGTGGTTTTTTGGTTGGTTTGTTTTGATTTTTTTTTGAAAGCATGGAAAAAAATCAAGATCTGCTTAAAGACCTCTTTTATCGACCTTGCAAGAACGGTTTCCAGCCTGTGCCTCTCCTTACATGCAACCAGCTCAAAAAAAAAAAACAAACACACACCCCGA